TCCTTCAATCTGTCTTCTTCCAGTCAAAATCATTCAATTAAGATGTCAATGTTCTTGTCCGTTGAATTAGCATTATCCCATGATGTCCTGAAGTGGTATAGTTTCGGTGGAAGTATTCCGAGCATTCTTGTCATAATCCAGCTTTCTTTAATTGAAACAATTAAAGCCTTCAGCTTTTAAGTCTTCTGCATATTTTTGAACTGATAAGCAATTCTCCACTACAGATTTGCTTGAATCATACTTATGATTAAAAAAATTTCTCTGTAACCCTTCAATTGTGAGATTGGACCTTTTACCATACAAGGTTTCTAATTTGTGTATCATACTATACGCAGAAGTGCAATTTGCAATTTTCTTTGCGATATTACTGCTCACATTTAAACCTATACAAGCTTGAGCGTCTAAATCCTTTTTAATCCACGCTGCAACATCTACCGCATTATTTGCATCTTCAGGTTTAAGAATAATTCTGTTCGCAATGTCATACAAATCCTTCGATCTCAATGTAAGATTTAGTTTAAACTTCCATGAAACATAATTAATATTTCCCTGTGAATCTTCTGACAAAGTTTACATTTGAGATTTTACGATATCCACATCGACAGACTAAATAATTTACTGACTTAATTAGTTTTGTATGTTACCTAAATACACTTACGGTGATGACGGGTAGCAATTCATGATCATTTACGAACACTGACGAAGTTGACCGACGATTGAAGCTCGTCAAAGATGGCAATTGCAGACGATGAACGAAGGTATGGCTGACACGTGTCTCGACACAACTTGCTGTTCTCAATTTATGCCTTTTCCTTTCTCTTAGAAAAATTCGACTGTCGAGATTCATTCACGGGTCCTGGGCCCATAACCTGTTGTATTATCATGTAACCGTGAATGAATCAAGAAAAAAAAATGGCGGGATTAATCAACGAGAACGAACCTTTTTTTATTGACCTGCGCTCATCCGACTTGGATTTCTACACAAAGAAAACAGGTGGCGCTTGACTTAAGTGCAGCTTATAATAATAAATATGATTAATCTTAACAAGTAAGGAGCTCCTTCATGGCTTTATGGCCTGTCATTTTTCATTCTTCTGGCATACATAACAGCAGAAGGAATTTGGAAAAAAATGTCTGGCATGACATTTTTTTCCAAAGAGGGCAGTTTCATCGCAATTAAAAACTTGCTGTGGATGTAACCTTCATTTGCAATCAGTTCTTCAAATTGCTTGCAAAACTCCTCGGCTGCCCTTCTGTCCAAACTTGCTGCCTCACCAGGCCGTTTCACCAAATGTATTCCGGTGCATTTCCGAAATTTTTTGAACCAGCCACGAGAAGCTTTGAAGTCGGTTACCGACTTCAAAGCTTCTCGTGAAAAGACCAGCCGAGCTTTCACCCCCCTGGTCTTTCAAATCACTGAAAATGGCAGTGGCTTTCTCACAAATTATTGTTTCTGTGATCGTATCTCCTATTATTTCCTTCTCTTTTATCCACAACAATAAAAGCCTCTCCATCTCATCAAGCCTAGCTGTCCTTTTCTTTGAAATTGTTGTGAGACCTTTCAAAGGATTCACTGCCTTTATTGCTACCTTCTGCTTGATGATCGTACTGATCGTCGAACAGTTTCGGCCATATTGCTGAGCAAGATCATAATACGCATTCCACTTGCATGTTTCTTTATTATCTCGTACTTCATTTCCAATGTCATCATCCTTTTATTTTTCTCACCACTATCACTAGCACTTGCTTTCTTCAGACCCATGGTTAATAATAATAACTGTAATAATAAAAAAACAAAATAACACAACAAAATGATAAGAGTGCAGCAAGTGAGATCCTTCCACGATGAAGCAAACATGTGGACTGAAATCAATGAACAGAAGTGTCGGGATGGAATCGTCTGGAAGTTTCCTGCCCTATTTTCTTTTTCAAACGAGCAATGGTCGATGCCGTAGGAACTCGGATCGAGAAACAACTGTTAGTTTTGAAAGCAGGATAGCTGATTGGCCGCCGAGCATCAGACCATCTGCGGACCGACGAGAGCGCTACGAAGCTGGATTGACAGCACTGATTGGTCAATCAATCAGCACTGTCAATCTATATAAAAAGATTGAGTTTAGGCGGGAGAGTTAAGTTTGCCTAGGTTGAAGTTTGATAGAGTTCTGTAAGAACTTCAGGTTAAGGATGTTTTATCTAAGTTCGGCTAAGGGAACTCAGGAGTTGATCAAACAAACTTGATGAAGCAAAGTTGCTTTCATCTCATCTGTTTTCATCAATGAACACCGGAAGGAGTATACAACTAATTACCACTCAAGGATCGTGTCATAAGGTGCCCTTTTGACGGACCTGTTCAGGATTAATTGGCTATTTGGACTCTAATTTATTTTGTGCGTGTGTGAAACCTATGTTGTAATTTGTAGCTCTTGTTAACATCGTAAGTTTATGTAAATTTTATTTGTTGTTATAAACGTTTTGTGAACTGTGATTTTTGAATTTGACTAGAAGGAACACGTGATCATGGCGGTGGTGATGTGAACTAATGTAACATCGTATGGTGAGATTTTGTTCATACTGTGGAGCAAAAATATGTTCAAATTTCATGTCGTATCCTGAAAATTTCGTATGCTGGAGCGTTTGTATCCTGAGGTACTACTGTATAATATAAATATGCTAAATTTATATATTCAAAAAAANTAACAGATGTTCTGAATTTTAATAAACATAATTTTTACAATTTCATATCTCTGTAATAATTTAAAAAAACCTGAAAGAACCTGATACTGTCTGGAAGAAGCAGATTAAAAAAAGTGAAATATTGGATACAGGAAAAGGAAGTAATTATTATAAGGGCAGATAAGACAAAAGAAATGGCAGTGCTTATAAGATTGGACTATGATAGGATGTTGCAAAAACACATTGATAAAGCAGAGTGTGTACAACTTGAAATGAAGTTAAGAAGCTCCTGAAATGCACCATACCAATGTTCCTAAAAGGACTAACAGCTAGATGTTATAGTGCCCCAAAACTGTTGTATGTCTACCTCTTTCCAAAATATTCAGTGTGAAACACTAAGCAATTTGGCAGGAAGTAATTAGTTAGATTACCATCTTTCGTTAAAGAGACAGCAACCTAACCATCTATCTCCTGGCAAGTTACTTAGTAATTACTTAGCCTTAATAGCCCAATAAAGAAATCTGGCTGTTCATTTGATATTTGAAGTAATTATCAAGTTGGTTATATTTATTATTTATTATGTTAAGACACACAAAGATTCCTGGTCAGAAAGATCCATAACAGAGAGGAGATCCTGCTTATTTTTTGACAAAAAGAATAATTTGGTGACATTTTTAGAAACAAAGCTGAAAGACTATCAAAGAGTGATTAAAGATAGAAGAGAGCTTATGAGAATTTGGGATGTGAAAGCAAAAGAAAGTTTCATTCTGTTAATATATGATTTTAAGTCTTTATACCCATCTGTGCTATAGGAACCAGCCTTTTGATGGGTAAAGGTCATTTGCGAGTTCAAAGCTAAGGGATGTGTCAATCTTAGTACATTGCACAATATAAATGCATATTTTGTCCATAATGGACAAAATATGAGACACAATATTAATATATTGTGTCTCATAATATGAAGAAATGAGAGTCTAATTGATTTACTAATAACAGGGCCTTTAGCCAAAATTATTGTGAGGCAGACAAAGAAGAGTGTTAGGCATAAGTTTGGTCCAGACATTGTAATGATGGTTAGGTATGTAGATGACTTACTAGTCATATGGAAGGATGGAAATAGAGAAAAGAGTTTGTAAAAGAGTTTTCTGATTCTACATTAGGATTGACACTACAGAAAGAACAAAGTTCACAAGACCGCATACATTTCCTTAATGTATTGACTGTAGAGGCTAGCTAGATATGTCACAAAAGTATTTAGGAAAGATACACCTGTTCCAGTATACATTCCCTTAAAGTCTAGATATATATGGGAATATAAATGGGCTGCAGGGCTGATTCAAATTTTGAAACACTCGAATGATTTTGCACAACACTACTGGGAATCAATGCAGTAGACTGTCTGGATTTTTATACTTGTAAATGATTTCTAATATACATGGCTGGAGTTGTTCACAAAAAGTTTATATACTTTCGAAAACAATATGACAAAAAATCAATTTATAATACAGTACTAAAAAAAAAAACATTGATACACTAAATTAAATATACATATCTAGAATATGCTCAACAATTATACAATAATACATGTGACTAATATAAACTGTAAAAACTTATCATCAGCTAAAATCAAAGCTGAAGACTAAAAAGTAAACAAGGTAAAAAACAATGATATATATAAAATTTTTTATTTGCATCAAGATTTCCCATCTGCTTACACTATAGTTGGTTAAATATAATTGCTTAAGAAATTTAGGCTGATAAAGGAACCAAGGCTATTATTACAAAAAAGTGACTAAATATATGAATACTGTAATAAACCATACATATATCTAAAATATAAATTAAAAGAATAACTAAAAATTTGATATTTGATGATAAAAATAGTAGTGTTACATATCAGATAGAAGAGTTCAAAAGATAAAGATTATTACAAGATTCTATAGTAATTAACATAATAGAAGTTCCTTGAAAAATATAAACATAGATAATTTGGATACTTTTTTGATTGCAAATATAATAGCATAGCTTTTTTGATGTTAATTATATAATTAAAATAAGCATTGCAGTTAACTTAATAAAGCAAACAATATACCTTTAATAGTAACAGTTTGGAAAACACAAATGCTTGTTAACAAAGTCAAAAACATTATTACAAAAATCTCTCAGTATATTTAATTTAAGGTTGATAATTTTAAAAATAACATTTAAATTTAAAATGTTATAATAATTTATATTTCCATTTANTTGTAATAAAAAGCAATTTTTTTGTGAACTTATAAAACTTATAGAATGTAACTTAAATGCATTAAATTGAAATCAAATCTTACCATGTAATATACTATATTTTTTGCCTAAAATCCATACAGGTTCTTCAGTATAAGGAAAATCTGAATATTCTTTGTAACTTGGTTCATAAGCCATGCCTGCTATAAAATACAATTAGTATCCTTTATTAATATTTACTTCATATCTAATAAATAATAACAATGTAGTCAATAATCAAAATATGAGTGTCTAATTAAAGTTAACATATTATGGGCAGTCTAACTACTTAGTAAAATTGCATAAAAATTTCAGTATGTCTTAATAAGACTGTAGAAAAGCAGTTCACAGAAAAAAGAATTAGTTTCAAAAATCATCACCAGAGCATTTTATGGACAAACAAGGCACATTTCCATATGCATGGTGCAGTTAACATGCATAATTGTTGAGTTTGGGCTAGAGAAAACTCCCATGCATCTGAAAATTCCTTTACATTCCCCAAAAGTAAGTTTAATGCTGTTTTTCCTCCTCATTCATTATTGGTTTTACTAGTTTGTTCAAGGAACTTGGCCCAGAGATCCCATTACATATTCTATTACTGACCAGTAATATGCACCAGAGCCCACCAGTGGTCGAGTGGTCTTCGTACCCTAAACACTGGGAATTCGGTCGTGGGTTCACGCCGCGATCGGACAGGCTGGCTGCTTGGAGTTTTCCGGGTTTTCTCCTTGCCAATAACAACTAAATAGGAGGCCAGTTCCCCATAAAAGTCCTCCCGGAAGGCATTAGTTCCCCTTGTGTAACATCACACCCCAGAAAAGGCAACGGGAAACCACTCTGGGTACTAACTTTCCCTAGTAACGCCTTGGCGTATTTACTAACTACTTACTAATCTGAGCCAGGTATGGCCAAGGTCAGGAAAAACCTGATATGGCACCATGAGATGAGAATATGCACCATCATTGACCAATATCAGCACTCCAACAATGTCAATGTCTTGAATCAACAGTATTCATGTAAGATGGCACCCCCCAAAACTAATTGTGTTAAACAGGTGCTTAGAAATCATTTTTATGATAAATACATCAGAAAAATCATTTCTAATTGAGAAGTGCCAGTTGATGATGTATTATCAGCTAGCATTTCTCAACTGTTAGCCTGCATGCTCACTAGATCAGAATCCATGCTAAACATCTCAAGGAATTCTTTGCAATCAACAATTAAACATGCTATTCTCAGCTTTCATATAATAGCAGATAATGGTGGTCAACATGCTTTGAGGTGACTAATAAATTGTCACTGCACTGTCTTGTAATGCTGAAATTATTCCTGATGGTAATTTTTGAAACTAATTTTTTTCCCATGACTTTCCATCCATTAGCCTCTTTTAGACACCAGAATTTTCATGCAATTCCATTAAGCGGTTTTTTCTGCAAACTTTTCAGTATATATATATATATATTTT